GCTGCTGCTGCTGCTGCTGTGGGAAATTCCACCACGAGGCCTAATAACAACATGCCAGACCGTCCCTGCTCCCAAGAATAGAACCGACAGTGAGTGAATGGAACAAACACGTCTATTCTCTCCGTGTATATATTCACCCAATGATTCTTACGGGTGTCAGGGCTTTTCTCTCAGATTGGAAAATTACAATTCCAGTGATAAACGCTCTCAGCTCAGCCTGGCTGGTTGGGTTCACTTAAAGCCATCTTGACCTTGAAAACAGTGCACGCACTCCTGCTGCAGCTGGAAGGGGAGGAAATTCAGTCTGCTTCCCCTTTTTCCTGTCGTGGCTTCAAAAGATAATCTGGATGTTGTGGATTGCATTGCAATGACATCACCCACGCCTGAAATCTATCGGTAGTATGAATGGGGTTCTGAGGAGGATCCACTCCCCTCAGCTGCTCTGAGCCATGTGTACATACCAGCTTCATGCTCCGCCGAGCTAAACGTTCTGTAATGGAGATTCACTGTGGGAAGTTTAATTTAATCTTACAATCATCTCAGGGCACTTATTAAAGCCAAGACTTCATAATATTATAATATAGAGAGAATCCCAACAAATCTAAATTATTCCCTTTGACATAGCGAAAAGATTTTAATCTAAACAGCTAAAAGAATCAGTTAGTTTGAGAGAATCTGAGTGTTTTGCTGCAGAACTTTGTCCCTGAAATGCTCAAATTCCACATCAGGGTTGTACGAGGACAGAGGAGATTCTCCACGCTGCTCTTATGATCTAATGAAATGCAAGCCTCCAGAAAATCTTTTTTGAATTAACACAGTAATTATTTTAGTGGTGAACTAAATACTTCTACTCAAGTACAATTTTTAAGGTACTTTACTTTCCATTTTGGGCTGTTTTACCCTGACACTCGACAACATTTCATGACGAAATATTACATTTTCTTCTCCACCACATTTATCTGACAACTTTAGATGCTTTAAGGGGAGGATTTTGCAAAATAAATAATAGAATAAGCTCTTAAAAATACAACACAATGCATTCTTTAAAGATTAAACTAGTGCTTTCTGACCTTTTTGGCTTCTCACAATAACTGGCCAGGTCGTTATTGTAAATGAGAACCTGTTCTCAATTAACCTACCTGGTTAAATAAAGGAAAAATAAAATAAATAAAACTAATCTGCAGCCTGGCTCACTTTTCAGATGTCGTTCACCAAATAGTGATCGATCCCATGATTTCATTTCAGTTCAAATGAGCCTATATGTCACCAAAAATTTAAGAAAAAAGGCCCAAAAACTGAAAACAGATTTGTGTTTTTTCTTCTTTCCTCGCCCATTAATCAGATTTGTGTGCAGTTCCTGTGTATAAAACTTAACATAAAGTAGTTCAGACCAGCTCCACCTGCAGCAGCTGCAGCAGTAACATGCCGCTGACACTCTGACGCCTCACTATTAATAATCTAATGAGGTCACATATTCTATTATATCACTCAGAGGGTACTATCTTTTAATATTATCGGCTAATTATTTGTATTTTTCATGCAGCTGTGTTGGTACTTCTGCAACACACTCACAACCTAATTTTACTGCTGAAATGACCTCAACTACCTGCACAGATAAGGCCATGCCCCCACCACAGCAGCATTATAATAGGGAAAACAGGGCTGGAGGACATACTGTGCAATGATCTACAAGAGTTTTGCTGTCATTTGCTCAAAAACTGTCATTTGCTCAAACTTAAAAATACATCCGTTTCTGTGATAGTCACCCGTCTTCCCAATCGATTTCCCAAACAGGGTCAACAGATAATGTCAGAGAGGTCGGTAGTTTATGCAGGAGAACGGTGGTCGAGGACGCCACTTAAAGCTGAGGCCAGACTAACGCTCAGTCAGTGGAGCCGACAAAAATTAGTTGTACATTTTTAAAATAGTCTTGAAGCCTTCTGCTGAGTCAGATGTGATGCTCGTCATGGGATGGGCGTCCGTCGGTTACCGCTCCGGCCTTCATTTTTCCTACGTTTTAATAACCAAACACCCCAAAGGAGGCTGAATTCTATTAAAATATGTTTTCTTCTGACAAATCTAACATAATGTTTATTGTACAATAAGTATTGTAAACTACTGTGGGTGTCATCTGTGACTGGATTATGTATCACAGGAGCAAACTAACCTCAGTCATGACATTTCCACTGAAACGAAACTACCAAATATAAGCTGCCCATATTATAAATGCATGAGAGGGAGGGAAAACACAGCCTGGGATAAATGCGATGATATCAGTGTCTAGATGTTTTATTTAGCGATCAGAGACTGAGATCTCCTGCCCTCATGAACACCCACGAAAGCGATATTTCTCTCTGCATAAAGCGTTTCCATTTCCCAGCACACTCAACCCTGCATCATGAGTCAGGCTCCGGTCATCATCAGCTGATCCTACCATGCATTAATCACTGACATTTAGACAGCACTCACTGCTCTCTTTATTGATAAGGTCATTTATGACTAAAATGTAAGGGCCGGCCGGCATGGGAGTGGTGAACAGAGGAGGAGCTGGAGAACGATTCTGGTGATACAGAATCCAACGGAAGACAGTAGAATCTGTTTTATTGGCCACGTCAAAGACAGATAGATAATGTGCAATAACGCAGCTTGCATCAGTCTTTTTTGAGTTATGACAACTTCTAATGAAATTATGTTCAACCAACAAACTATACTGAGTTTGTTAAGCTAGCTTTTGCTTTACAATTGATGGTATTTTTATTTACCAGACTGTCTGAAATTGTCCAGATGTACTAAGACAGGAGAGAGAACTTCAAATCCTGAGTGTAAGGGTAAGAAAAGTTAAAGCCAATTTAATTAAGTTATCGCTCTTGAATTCAATTTTAAATC